TGCAAAAACCTGAAATGCGTAGAATTTGAACACTGTGTTGATTTTTTCTAATTTTATCACTCCATGGAAGGGAGTAAAGCCACTAAGACACAAGTGATTACTGGGTGTGAAAGAATAAGAATAAAGTAAAACATTATTAGGGAGCGAGGACAAAAGAAGAGTAATCAAGAGGGACAGTAGATTACGATTAACATTGCATTTGAATTTCTGAAGAAAAAAGTTGTCTAGAAAGCATGGAGCGGGAAGTGAGTTCTACAAGCGAGAAGTGCAAGGAAAGAAATTGTTAGCATCGACCTTACGGTTGCATCTAGCCAATTCAAATCTAAATTAATAATACCGTATCCGCAATCTAGACATGCGGTTAAGTTCATAAAGTCTAGTTACCATAGCGATGAGGTTTTTCGAAATGTTATCATGAAGGTATTTATAGTAAAGACACGGAGAAACTACATTAAGGTGGTGGGAAATGACTGAAGCCGAGACACCAGGTTAGGGCCAATAATATTGCTGATTCTTCCTGGGATTTTATCAAGAATCTCTAAATATACAACAGGAGTACCGAAACATATGTGGCAACAAAATTCGAAGTATAGGACGAATGGAAGGGAAATGAATAGATTCTGGAAAGAAAAATTGTCTAGTGTTGAGGAGTCCACCCCTTTTTACACAAATGGACTCACCCAGTATATACATATACTACTGCTACGGTAAGACGAGAGCAAGGCCGAGGAGTCGAGTCGAGTCGAGTCGAGAGTGACAGAGTAAAAGGTTGTAGGTAACCGGAAGAGTGAGGGGTGAGGTAACAACGTTGTAGGAGTCACAGTGAGCGAGCACGTAGACTCAGTAAGAAGTCATACAGCGATACTTCAATACCAAAGATTGTATATATATTTTGCTACTAACCCGTATTCCTGGAACTACTAACCTGCTTTACCAGTTTGTATTATTACGTTAATACATTATTTTCCTATATTCATTCCTGGCTTTTGTTATTTATTGGTACCGGATTTCAACCCTAAATCCACAACAACTTGGCGACGAGGATATCGAACTCACACGGGAAGAAAAAATAAGACAAATTCTCCCTCTTCAACTTGGCGACGAGGACTTCAAACTCATACGGGGAGAAAATTCTCTCTTGTCGACCACAACAACTTTGGCGACGAGGAAATTCTAACTCATACAGGAAGAGTACAAAAAAAAATTCTCCCTTGCCGACCACAACGACTTGGTGTCGAGAAATTGGGACCTACACGGAAAGAAAAAAATCTCTCTTCTCACCACAACAGCTTGGGCGAAAGAGTTTGCATTTCTCAGAGACTCAAAACAACTGGGTAACAAAGTGTTACGAGGATTAAAATACGGACAATTGAGTTTTTTCGTAAGACTCTTACCATGGAGGATTTTAAAAGTATTTTAGTAGAAGTTGTAAAATACCAAAATGAACAGCAATTACAATTCCAAGAAAGTATGGAAAAACTATTACTACAAACGCAGAAGGAAAATCATGAAAGACAAATGCAAAATGAAGAAAGACAAATACAACTCCAGGAGCTAATTGTAAAAGTAGCGAGTAATACACAATAACAAAATATTGAAAAAGAGGCGACTTTTTCCCAAGACGCAGTATGAAACACGATAGAAACATTCAAATATTCCCTAGAAAAGGATAAAAATTTCGGCGACTTTTTCAGACGTCATGAAGACATCTTTAACATCGATTGTCAAAACAGGACAGAAGCAAAAAAGCTACGATTATTACCCAGAAAATTAGGAACGGGTGAATACACAATATTCGTGGATTACATTTTGTCAAAGAAGACAAATGATCTATCGTTTGATGAAGCAGTTATATACCTGACGGAGCTTTTCAGTCCGAAAACGCCACTTTTTCACAAAAGGTGGAGATGTCTTAACCTCGTAAAGGATGAAAATGAGGACTATTCTACGTTCGCCGAAATTGTGAATAAACATTGCGACGATTTGAAGTTGGCAGAATTAACCCAAAACAATTTCAAGTGTCTTATTTTTGTACAAGGGTTAGTCTCAGCAAAAGATAATGAAATGCGCAAAAGAATGCTTTCAAATCTGCAAAATGAACCTGGATTAACAGTACAAAAACTATCGGAAGACTGCCAAAAATGTCTGAGCATAAAGAAAGACTCAAAGGATATTGAGGAGGCAGGAGTATCACATATTCGTAAATTAAACAAAAGTTTAGGTTTTTACCCCTCCCCGGAAAGAAAACAAAATTTCTATAATAATGGAAAAGATTTTCACCCTCCCCGGAAAGAAAACGAAAATTCTATAATAATGAAAAAAGTACAACGTACAGGGCAAATAATGACGAAAATCAAAGTAAATATAACCCCCCACCCATCTGCATGTTATCGATGTGGATGACTACACTGGAATAAGGATTGTCGTTTTAAATATAAAAAACTGTCTTGCGTGTGGAAAAATGGGTCACAAGGCATCCCAATGTAGGAACAGAAAATTTACTAGTAGGATAAGAGCTACTAGAATGCATGACGAAGACAATACTAACATAAGGAAATATGTGGAACTTGAAATCTTATATAAAAAGATAAAATTACAACTTGACACAGGTTTAGATTTGACGATAATTAACCTCCAGACATGGAGAAAGCTTAATAGACCAACCATGTTACATACACAAAAATTGCTAACCCTCTTACAGGAAAGCGTATAAAATTCGAAGGAGAATCCTAAATGTAAAATTTCACGAGAAATCAAGAAAACTCAAAATATTCGTAATGAAAGATACAGAAAATCTGGTGGGAACGGACTGGATGCAAAAGTTCGACGTATGGGATTTACCTATCAGTTCGTTTTGTAAGGGTGCAGCTAGAATTGAATTAAAAGAAAATGTCCAACCAGTATGTAAAAAAGAAGCGAAACGTGTCATTTGATAAGTTATTGCCTAACAAGAATAAACACCAGCATACACCTATAATACACAGTGCAAGGCGAAATGTTTACCCCCAGAAGACATATTTACCAAATGCAAAAAAGACGGGTTGAAGAGCCAAGCTCGTCACCCGCTGAAAATGACGATTCAATGGATGCAACCTTTGAAGCTTTTGAGATTCAAAGGCCACAGGAAGACACAGAAACTAGAAGGTCAAACGGGAAGAGAAAAGTTACAGACCCTCTGATTATCGATCAGAAAAAGGATAAGATATTAACTCCACCCAAAAAGGGATTTAAGGAGGGTGTGTTGAGGGGTCCTCTCCTTTTAACACAAATGGACTCACCCAGTATATACATATACTACTGCTACGGAAAGACGAGAGCAAATCCCGAGGAGTCGAGTCGAGTCCAGAGTGACAGAGTAAAAGGAAGAGTGAGGGTGAGGTAAGAGCGTTGTAGGAGTCACAGTGAGCGAGCACGTAGACTCATTAAGAAGTCATACAGCGATACATCTATACTAAAGATTGTATAGAAGTCATATATTCAGCGATATTTCAATACCAAAGACTGTATATATATTTTGCTACTAACCCGTATTCCTGGAACTACTAACCTGCTTTACCAGTTTGTATTATTACGTTAATACATTATTTTCATATATTCATTCCTGGCGTTTGTTATTTATTGGTACCGGATTTCAACCCGGAATCCACAAAATCTAGGAAGACACAGAGAATTGACATTCTCCTTTGCAAACAACCATATCAACATATAAAAGTTTTAAAGCTACAACATTCTACTATAGTTTGATATGTACCATTTTTACGATAGTATGATGTCTATCATCCATTTTATACTATATTATGATATCTACCGTCCGTTTTCTACTCCAGTATAATATCTCTCATCCATTTCTACTACAGTATGATATCTACCAATCACTATCTGTTATAGCATATCTACCATTTACTATCTACTTTAGTATGATATCTACCATCCATTTATTACTTTAGTATGATATCTATCATCCATTTATTACTTTAGTATGATATCTACTGTCTATTTTCTACTTTAGTATGATATCTACCATCTATTTTGTTATGGTCCAAGTTCCTTGTACCACGGTGATGGTACAAGGTTAGAACCAATGAAAGAATCACACGAACACAGGTATGGAATGCAAAGATATATTACAATACAAAAATTATACAAATAAGAAGTATTAGAAATGATTTCAGATTTGGTTAGAGTGAACTATGTTGTCTCGACAAATATCACTATTCCAATGTCCTTACAATATGCTCTCAATTATCTCTCCTCGTCTTACAATATCCCCATACCTCTTGAGATGCGCAGTATTTATAATGTCAGGAATAGTCCATTATTATTATGGGTAAGTTCCCATAAAATATTTTCTACTTTAGTATGATATCTACCATTCATTCATTACTTTAGTATCCTATACCGTCTATTTTCTACTTTAGTATATCTACCATCCATTTTCTACTACAGTATGACATCTCACATCCATTTTCTACTATAGTATGATATCTACCATTTATTTTCTACTTTAGTATCATATCTACCATCCATTTATTACTTTAGTATGATATATACCATACATTTTCTACTATAGTATTATATCTACCATCAATTTTCTACTTTAATATGACGTCTACCATCCATTTTATGCTATAGTGTGCAGGATAAAAAGTTATTATATACAGGCGACGAGTGTCATTGCGTAGGTAAATCTATGTAGGAACGTTGAAGGTTTGTCAATAGCTGAGGTCTATTGGGTGACTGATTCGTTTTCTATGGCTTATCAACCATTTGCAGGTTATTTAAAGCCAGAAAATATGTTTAGATTGTAAGATTTTTTTGAGATAATAATAATTTAGTTATACAAGTCTTACTAATTAACCCATAGCTGGCGGAGTAGAGGTGGATCCATATATTTCCTAAGAGTTTTTGCGCATAAGTGAATATAACAAACTCATCAGTAATTAAAACTCCGATAAAATTTCAGACATTATCAATTAAATCATACGGACCTCCAAGCTAATAGTACCTGGGATTCCCTAGCAGGCACCCATCTAGGTACTGACCAGACGCGACGTTGCTTAACTTCCGTGATCGTAATGGAACCAGTGTTTCCACGTGATGTGGCTGTAAGCCTAAATAGTGTATAGTTGTTGGTTTTAGCTACATTGGTCGGAGGAGACACAACCCATACAATCTGGGGCCAATGGTGTATCGGTAAATCAGTCGAGTTTTCCTGAAACTAGATTACTGACAGGCATGCGTGATGAATGAGATGTATTATCTTGTGGTAAAAATCCAGCACCATAGAGGAACATGGCAGGCATAAGGTTGTGGAAATCGCCTATAGGAAGAGCTGCCTATGCCAAACATGAAATAATTCTTTAGTTTGACTCGCAGTTCTTTCGAATTCCCACAGTAAAAAAAAAAAAAAAAAAATTTGTTGGACAGTAATCGGTAAATCAATTGTCTGCTGCATAGTTCTCTGAAACTCAATTTTCAGGTGGACAGTGCTCTGGAAATCGTATATCTTCTGGACAGTGCTCCGGAACTCGACCGACTGCTGGACAGTATTCTTGAACTCGATTGTTTGCAGAACAGTGCTCTGGATTTCGATTGTCTGCTAAGACAGTGCTCTAGAACTTGAATGTCTTCCGGACAGTGCTCTGGAACCCGATTTGTCTGCTGGGCAGTGCTTGGCAGTGCTCTGGAACCTGAATGTATTCTGGACAGTACTCTGGAGTTCGTTTGTCAACTGGAGAATTCTCTGGAACAGGATTGTCTGCTGGACATTTTTTTGGGAGCATGACCTGTCTTAATATGTTGCTAATCTTATCCATTCCAATAGGAATGTTCTGTGGCGCATAATATCCTTGCCGGTTGGCAACTACGAAACTGCCTGGTATGCAGTGTACACAGTAAAGTGCATTGATTGATCGTTTAAACAGCACAATTATTGAATTAGCAGGTGATCTACTGAAATGTTCCTGTCCTTTGGGGGATTAACGGATCTGGGAAAGAAGCGCTTGTAGCCGATGTTTGCCCAGAATTAATGTGGTTCTGGTATACTCGTGCTACAATTACTGGTAAGAAGACCAAGAACAGTTGTCATTTCGAAAACAGATTGTCTCGTATCGCTGGCTACGACATTCATTCTGGGATCAAATGGTATTAAACCTAGTGTTTTGTTCTCTGGTTATCAGTTTTAAACGGTCATATCTACACTATATCATTACCTGTTACGTCATCTCTATAGTATCCAGCTGAATGATTTATTTTCTTAATCCTTTTACTCCAAGAAATGAAGTAATACCACTAGAACATTTGGGGTTACAGGGAATGAAAGTGAAAGAGAAGACTGGAAAGATGGAATATTGATGAAAGCACAAAAAGATGCACGAGATAAAAGAAGACAGAAGATGGCGATTGATATTGCATTTAAATTTTTTAATATTGGAGTTATCACGAAAGCAAGGAAGCGTGTTCAACATGTGGGAAATACCTGACAAAAAACTGTTAGAGTAGAATTAGCGCATTTAGGAAAGGGTGGGGCCTAGTTACCAATCTAGTAGCCCGCATAAATTCATGTGTTCGGGACACCATTAGAAAAAAAAGCTTGTCAGAGCAGTTACCATGAACATGCTTGTAGAAAATACAGATCGAATCCTAGTCATATCTGTGAGAAATGAACTGAAGTCAAAAAGCCAAGTCAGTATCGATTATATTAGAAATCCTTCTTTGGATTTTGTCAAGAATCTTCAGATATTCAGAAGGAACACCAGACCAGATATATCAACAGTATTCAATAGAAGATGAATGGTAGATTTATAAATGTGCAATATAGATTCTAATAAGAAGAATTTTCTGACACCACACAGTGAACTTTCCTTGCACAAGACGTAGAAATTGTTCCGATATTGTCGCCTCACTTTATGTCAGTTGAAATCGTGAGCCCAATCAGGCGTAGAGTTTTGTTCTTCAGGTATTTAGCTTAAGTATTACTCATGGCATACAGAAAAAGGATCTCTGTGGCGATTAAATTAAGGCAGTTTAGTTTTCGATGCGTTAAAACTTACTAGCCATTACTTGCCTCAGATAACCACAGAATAAAACAATATATTTATTTAATTTCGTCTATTGGCCTGAATATTTCGAAAAATCTTATTAGAAATATATGCGCTCTCCGGTTTCAAAACTGTGTGCCTCTAGCGTAAACTGCCATTAGATCTGACGTGCTTTCACCTCTCGGCTAACGGGTGAGTTGATGGCCAAGCTAAATTTGAATAAAAGCACTATTCACATTTTGGTGGTTACATGTAGCTAGCTCAACAGTAAAAGGGTGAGATCAATTTGCTAATCTAGTAGAAAGTTTAAATTCATGCAGTCGAGACACGAGGGAAAAATTCATCAAAACAATCGCCATGACAGAGAGAAACCACGTCACGTCAGTGAGAAAGTGAATGACATCGGATCAATTGCATTACAGACCTGTCTTTAAATTTTTTCAAGAATCTTGAGAAATACATCAGACCAGATAGGCAAAAGAATTCAAAGTACGAACGAATGGTAGATACGTAAATGTGCAAGATGAGTTCTGGCGAGAAAAAAAAAATTCTAAGACGAGATGAAAAATTCTACGTTATATTGTTTATTAAAGTTATTGTAAATTATATCAATAAGTAACCGAACAAAGCAACAGCATCGAATTTTAGACGGAGAGATTTTCCATCATTATAGTTTCAAATTCGAAAAGCTTTCAAGTAATTATGGTTGAAGAAGCAATTATAATAACATTCAAACAATTATGGTTTTATATTCTCGAATAATAACATTAATCTCATTATGGTTTCAGATTCTAGCGTACAGCCTTCAATTATGGCTGAATATTCTTTGTAATCAGTGTTTAAGCTTTTAGAAAAATATACATTCACAAAATTATGGGCCCAGTTTCCGTAGTGATAATGTTCACATAATTCTCGCTTCAATTTTGGAAGAAAAAAAAAACTGGTTTTTCGATTGGTATTGAATTTTCTAGACTAGCAGCCTTCAGGTACATGCTTTCAGATTCTAGAAATATATCTCATAATTACTGTTTCAAGATTCTAGATTAAACATATTTAATTAATTATCGTATCAGATTCGCGATTAACAACCTTCACCAAGTTCTGGTTTAGAATTCTAGAATAACGCCTTTTACTTCTGGTTCCAAAACAATAATTATAGTTGCTGGATATAGAATAATAACCGTCTTTGTGTCTTGATTCAGATTCTGACATGAGAGTCTTCCCGAAATTACGGATTTTTGATTCTACAATAACACACTTTTCTATTTTGTTCTAGTATTTTTCACGTAATTTTGGTTTCAAATTCTAAAAACATAACTTTCAAGTTATTATGATGTCAGTCGTTTAAATAATAATGATTTAATTATGGTTTTATATTCCAGATTAAAAGCCTTCAATTGCTTAAATATTAATGATTTAATTATGGTTTTATATTCCAGACAAAAAGACTTCAGCCGCTTAAATAATAATGATGTAATTATGGTTTATATTCCAGATTAAAAAACTTCAGTCCCTTCAATAATAATGATTTAATTATGGTTTATATTCCAGATTAAAAGCTTTCACATAATTATGGTTGAAGTTTCTGTAATATTTCATATATTTATGGTTTCATATTCTTGAATAACAGCCTTCACGTAATTATCTAGTATATATTTTAGATATAAAGTAGTTATCGTTTATATACTAGATTAAAAGCCTTCATGTAATTATTGTTGAATTTTCTACAATAGGATATTTCATGCATTTATGGTTTCAGATCCTTAATAACAACCTTTCCGTAATTACCTCGTATATAGTAGTTTTTTAATTATGCTTATTATTCCGGGATAAATGCCTTCATGTAATTATTGTTGAAGATTCAATAATGAGATATTTCATACATTTCTGGTTTCAAAATCTTGTTTAACAGCTTTTCTGTAATTAGCTATTATATCGTATACTAATAGCTTTGAAATAAATATGGTTCATATTCCAAGCTAAAAGATTTCATGTAATTATTATTGAAGATCCGAGAAGAGAGAATTTCATGCATTTATGGTTTTAGAAACTTAAATAATAACATTTCCGTAATTATCTTGTATATCGTTGACTAACAGTTTTGGAATAATCATGGTTCATATTCCAGAATAAAAACTTCACGTAATTAATGTTGATTCTACAATATGATATCTACAATATGATATTTCATGCATTTATGATTTCAAAATCTTTAATTATATCTGGGACTAGCAGTTTTAAAGTAATTATGGTTTTTGAATCTAGAATAACAACCTTTGCATAATTAGTTCAGAAATATTTATGCCCGAATGAAGAAAAAGACACTTGCTTTGCATTGGCGCCATGTGATTTGATCTAATTTTGAAGAAAAATTTGCATGGGGTATAATCTAATAACTTAATTAAGGATTTAATTTTTGCCATAATTTTTTCGCAGAGTTTTCTTTTCTATTTTGATAATCACCCACAAACTCGAAATGAATATGAAAAATGTGCGTTTGGGAGTGTTCATTTTTTTTTATCAAAGAGGAACAAAACTTACTGCTCGAGTTAACTAACTGAAGATAAACACTTGCTTTTCTTAAGGGCCAAGGTGTAGAGAAGTAGTTGTTGGAATTCCCGGCCTTAGCTCTCCTCTTGCGATCCCCGGTTTATTTAATACCTCCCTCATTTTAAATTGCCGTCTAGTAACCTTTTCTCTCCATTATACTTTTAGAAAAGTAATTATTATTTGTTTAAACGTTTAAGTTCAATTTACAGTAACTCGGAAAACGGCTCATACTCGAACAATATACTGTGATCTAAGTTTTCAAAACTCATTTACTGATTAGATTAGAAGGAGCAATGTTTTTGTGCATTCTTTATTCATCTTTAATTTTGATAGACATCAATATTAATACTTGATTATATATATATATATATATATATATATATAAGTAATTATACCCGTCTGGAAAAAAAAAGCCTTACGTATTTTGGCTTATAAATGAAAAAAACAATACCCAATGAAAAATAAGGGATAAAAAGGAAAGAACTAAGTACAGTGTAACCCGGATATAAGAGACCCGGATATAAGAGAAACTCGGATATAAGAGAGATTTTCTCTGGTCCCAAATTAGAGCCTGTGTTAATATATAAAATAGACCAAACCCGGATATAAGAGACTTCTTCTCCGGTCCCGACAACTCTCTTATATCCGGGTTACACTGTAAATGTAATTGAGGCGAAAAAAATCGTCCAGAATCCAAGTTCAGAGTTCAAAGAAAAAAAATCTTACGATCCGCGTAGGTGAAACCTAGGGAGGCTTGCCTAGCTCTTTAGGTTCATAGTTATATATATATATATATATATATATATATATATATATATATATATATAAGAGAGAGAGAGAGAGAGAGAGACATGTTTCATTTAATAATTTAGACAAGTTTTGTCTACTTATTTTGGATCCTTTCATAATCATGGACAAGTTTTTTGGTCCCATTATTAAAGGAAGAAAGAAAATCGCCATGTTGACACATATTTTATTGCGAGTACTTTCGACAGAGTACAATCTCATTATCCGGGTGTTATTTTTTTTTTTTTCAAGACAAATTTTGTAGTGTTCATTATTTTCAAAGACAAAATTGCTGTGTTCATCTGAAAGTTAAAGTTTTCGAACTCGGCTCTCCGCTTCCACAATCCGACTCGTTATCCATTATTGCACCGTGCCTCCCCCTACCTAATGATATATAAGAGCAAAAAGCGACAGAACATTCTTTCCAACCTAACTTCCCAAGGAATGACAGAGATTGCCCACCGTTGTTTCTTATCGAGGGTGCTGAAAAACATGTTTCGCTGATTTAAAGAGACTTGCTGTCACTCTATCTTCAATCACACACTTTCTGTATGATTATAAAAGTTCATAAACATTATCATTTATCTAGTTCTGGTCACCATTCCCCCAATGGTTCATGGTGACATCCAAGGCAAAATAGTGTAATGACGTACCGGTTTCTTCTGCATCGGGGATGTTGATGTTATCTCGCCACCTCCTTTCAGAGATTCCTACGCTCAGTGGTAAAGCCGTTAACTTTTGAGGTGCAATTCCTACACCCAGGCTGATAACTGCCCGATTGTATCTTGGTACGGGTGGGTTTTGGAGGGCAGCCATACCCCTTCACCTATCGGGTCGGAAAAACCCTTCCTACTTCCCTCACACAGTTTAGTCGGCAGGTCGATGCCATGAGTAAGAGTTGGATGTAAGCCATGGAACAGTAAAGTTCCGCATCCCAATGCACCTGTGATTGATTGAATGATTTGATAATAAAGAATAAAAGCCTTCAGTCGCTTAAATAATAATGATGTAATTATGGTTTTATATTCCAGACTAAAATCCTTCAATTGCTTAAATAATAATGATGTAATCATGGTTTATATTCCAGATTAAAAAAACTTCAGTCCCTTCAATAATAATGATTTAATTATGGTTTATATTCCAGATTAAAAGCTTTCACATAATTATGGTTGAGGTTTCTGAAATATTTCATATATTTATGGTTTCATATTCTTTCATATGAATATCCTTGTGGGCCATTTAATGTCGAAATTTAAATTTTTTGGGAGCTTTTCAGTAATAAAAATATGCCACTTGTCATTCTGCCTTCACAATTGAATACATGGTAGATGTTACTCAGCTTTTGTATATATACATGCTTGTGTGGACATAATTACTAGAGGCGACGATATGTGTGTTTTATGCTGAAGTTTTGTTGAAGTTATATTTTGAAATACAATTTGGTTTATTTAAGAAATTGTAGAATATTATAGAGATTAATATCATGAAAGAGTTTTTTTTTCACGTTGGTTGTTTGGTTGATTTTGTTTAGAGGCATAACCTCTATGGAATATTTAATCTCGAAATCTAAATATTTTGAAAACAATTTTATAGCTTCACATCATTATCATCAAAGAACGCAATGCCTTCAACTACAAATGAAATGTATTGTTGGTCATTTTACTATACATATGTAATGTTGGTAATTTATTTTATATAAAAAATGTATTGCGAGTATTTTTACTATACAATTTATTCTTATGCTTTTTGTTGAAACTTGGATAAGCATGGAATAATAATAATACAACACAAAATGTACGTTAACAAAATGTATTGAAACAAGGAAAAGGTACACAATATTTACAGTTAGTTTTGGTATATTCTTGGGAAGACTGTTCCTGCATAATGGGTTGACTAAATCGCAGTCGGGCAGAGTCTCTGGATTCGATCTCTTCTTACAATCTCTTTTTCGTCTTCCGGTACCAACCCATATTTATATGGTTGGTACTCCACTTATGTAAATTAGGTGTATCGTACACAACACTTTTATAGCATTTTTTTGTTTTTGTTTGCGGGTACAATATTTGCTCTTAGCAGGGACGTTACAGTGCTACCAACCCGAGTGAAGGTGGACCTTAATTCACCTGAGTAAAGAAGGTTCGGCCACTTCGCTGTAAAGGTAATACCACTGACGATATACTCAATACACCACCTTCGAAAATCATAATGAAAAATAATTATATAATACAGTTTTTTCACACAACTATTCAAATATGGATGCCGAATATTTTTAGTATCCAAATAGAACGCAAACCATTTTATCGGATTCGGTTATTGACAAGAATGACGATACGGCGGAATGCAATTGCCTTTATGCTAAATTCTAAATCTGTTTAAGGAAAGCACACAAGTAGGAACAAATAACTGTGCGGTTATCATTTGACATTCTCCAGGCAAGAGTGATTATTCCCAGATCCATTCCTTATGGAATATGGCAAGGTTTCTCTTCGCATATTTTCCAATTGCGTCTTTCTCGCTGTTTGCTTTTCTGTTTGAATTTGATGGAACGTTTTTTGATACTTCTATCGGCCATTCAGCCTTACTTCTCTCGCGATAAATCTCCCTCTCTATCCCGTTCTGTCTAAACATTTCCCTCTCTCTGAATCATGTCTATCCTCTCTTTCTCTGTACAAACACAAGCACGCACATATACATATACACACACGTACACACACGCACACACACACACACACACACACACACACACACACATATATATATATATATATATTATAAATTAATTGATTTAAAAGATGTTTTTTTCCGCTACACAGTTCTAACCATGTTTTGTAAAAATAAAAAAAAAATATCTATAAGAACACCGGATTATATATCTTAGTGTTCTTGTATTATATATATATATATATATATATATAATGTCATCCACAGACAGACTGTTTCGCTGTTTACAGCTCATCAGTGCGGCTAGACATCCGGTTGCCTCTAGCTAGGATCGAAACCCGAATTGGTGTCAGTCGGAGCTTCTAACCATTAAGCCGTCGGCGCACGGTAGGAATGAAGGTGGATTTTTAGCGAATTTTATTTTTTTGTAAACATGCCCAATGACTGACAGTGACTCAATTCGCTTACGCGAAGAGTCTCGCTATATTAGCTATAATAGTCACTGTTTACCAACCCACACCTCTTTCCCAGAGTGCTCAACTGAAATCAAATTCAGGAGCAAATATAATGTCATCCACAGACAGAGTGTTTCGCTGTTTACAGCTCATCAGTGCAGCTAGACATCCGGTATATATATATATATATATATATATATATATATATATATATATATATATATATATATATGTCCAAATGTAAAGAATGAAAAAGAATATAAACTCAAACAATACAAGTGCAACAAATAGTTATCATAACCGTTACCTTAGAACATACATGTTACCACGAGAAAACGAAAAAATGTTTTATCATTTTTTCTTATTTGTTTTCTCTTTTTTTTTTCATTTTTTATTTCGTTTTTTTTTCTCGTTCGTTTTTTCTTTTTTTCACATTTGTCTTTTTCGTTTTCATTGTTTTTTTTCCTTTCTTTTCTAATTGTTTTTTCATTTTTTATCATTTCTTTGCTCTCGCTTTTTTTTTTCTTTTATTCGTTTTCTTGATTTTTCACATTTGTTTTTTTCCGTTTTTTTTTTTCTTGCAGGTTTTCTCGGTTTTTCTTATTCTTATTTGTTTTCACGTTTTTTTTTTCATCTAGTTTTTTCTCGTTCTTTTTCTCGTTTTTCCGAGTTTTTTTTTTCAGTTCTTTGCTGAGTTTTGTTGTATTTTCTACTTGTTTTATCATTTGTTTACAACTTTGACTCGCATTTTAATCTCATTTTTTCTCATTCCTTTTCTAGGTTTTCCTCATTTGCCTTTTACCTTTTTTTCTTGCTACTTTTCTCATTTTTTTTTCTCATATTTCGCATTTTCTTTTATTTTTTTAAATTTTTTTTTCTTAGTTTTCTCGTTTTACGACCATTATTGTTTTCTTTTTCGCACTGATTTTACCGTTTTTTCTTTACCTTTTCCCTTTTTTGCTCTTTCTTTCTCGATTTTTTCTTAGTTTTTTTCGTTTTTCCACTTTTATATTTTTTTCTTGTTGTGTTTTCTCATTTTTTTTCCACGTGTTTCTTTTATGCTGTTTTTTATTCTCGATTTGTTGTTATAATTTTCTCGTGTTTCCACCATAATTTTTTTTCGTGTTGATTTTCTTTTTTTTTTCTTATTTTCTCTTTTTTGGTCTTGTTTTTTCGGATTTTGTTTTTTTTCTTTAGTTTTCTCGTTTTACCTCCTTCCATTTTTCCTTTTCCTGTTTTTTTTCATTTTTTCCTCATTTGTTTTTTTTCTCTTATCTTTCTAGTTTTTATTTGCCTTTCCGTTTTTTTCTCGCTTCATTTTCGTCTCTTTTCTCGTTTTTCTATGTTTTTTTTTCTTATTTTTCTTTCTGACATTCTCGTGTTTTTCTCATTTATTTTCCCGTTTATCCAGGTTTGTTTCTCCGTTTTTCTTAACGATGTTCCAGAAAGTTTAACATAAAATATATACTGACCTATATTATTGGCCGTAACGTCCGTAAACACTAAGGCCACCAGTGCCGACTGTTTAACATCCTTTCTGATACCATATTCAGTGTTTTCGTTTTTATAATAGCAGGAAGCGCCATCCAATAACGTAAAGAAGGGATTATCTTTATTAAATCTAGAAAAGAACTCCGTCCTGAAAAAAACAAAAAAAAAAACAAAAAAAAAACGAATCGGTTGATATCTGTGTATAGATTATGAGGAAAGATAACCTGAAACTTGAAGAGCTTAAGATTATCGTGGTTGTGGAAGCATCCTGTTGGTAATCTCTTCTTTAAAGCAATGACTGCTGGGAAGAAACTGTTCAAATGAACATCCTATTTCGCCACTGGAATAAGATTGGAATGTGGATGATTAATCCCCGTGTACATGCCATGGCGGGTCTTCGATGGGAACGTCTGAAATGGTGGAAGTAAAACATACAGCTCGTCGGAACATTTTTCTTGGAAATATTAATAGTCGCCATACTCTTTTACGTGTATGTGGCAGTGGTTGTAGGGTTGAAAGTAATTCATCGTTGAAAAGGAGGCGTAAACAGCTTGGAAGTTTCTCGTGGCTGAAAAGAGAGGATTGGGATAGACCAGGCCAGACATTGCTAAAATAATCCGTTTACTAAGCCATTCTTGTAAAATGTACAATGGTCCGTATTGATCTTTTCTCACAAGTTAATACAATTTGATTTTCAGAGAATAATATTCTGTTTTTATTTCTCTAAACTTCTCTATCCCATGATAGCATCTTGCGTAGATTTTTGAATCACATTAATGGCCAAGGTTCGATTCCAGCTACCAAACGATAAAAAAGAAATTGCTGGCTGTAATATATAAGACGTGACGAATTCTGGAAGGTCACACCTGTTTTTCAAAAATAACAACAACAATAAAAATTTACTGATGCGGGCAAAACGCATGACGCGTTAGAAAGATGGCGCCACCATCAATAAAAATGGCGACAATAAATTTGCATAACAGATGACAATTTTTTTTTAAATATCTAAATCATTTTGTATAGGTTATGAGACAAAGAACATGAAAATGTATGGAAAAAGCAAAGTTATTAATGAATCGAAAAACTGTTCTTAACAAGAGTTCTGTATTGCTATTCAATTGCTAATCTTAACGACATAAGACACGCAGACGACACAGTACTGATCGCAGACTCGGAGTTGAAATTACAAGATCTCCTACAGAATGTAGCGACCGAGAGTATGAAGAACGGACTAAGCATAAACTATAAGAAGACAGAATGCGTAGTCATCAATAAAAGGATGAGCCCAAAATGGGATTTGAAGGCCGGGAACAATAGAATCAATCAAATGCGGAAGTTTAAATATCTGGAAAGTATTTTGACAGAGGACGGTAAATGCGACACTAAGATCCGTAGACGTATTGGGATGGCCAAGGACGCATTGCAAAAGCTGGGCAGAGTATTGCGAGACAGGAGGATTTCTTTAGTAACAAAATAAAAGAATACTGAGCTGTTACGTGACATCTGTTCATCTTTACGACAGCAAATGTTGGACGATTTCTTCAAAGATGAAGAAGAGACTTGAGGCGACGGAGATGTGGTTCTACAGAAGGATGCTAAGAGAAGATGCTAAGAGAGGATGCAAACAAGGAGGAGGCTTATATTTAACATCAGGAAGAAGCAGCTAAAGTTCTTGGGACACATAATGAGGAAGGGGAGCATAGAGAATCTGATACTCACGGGTCGAATAGAGCGAAAGAGAGACAAGGGAAAACGTGGCAGAACGTGGTCTGGGGGAGGAAGCAGAAGCAAGGAATTTGTTGAGAGCTGCAAGGGATAGAGGGAGGTGGACAGCCATGATCGGCTACGTCCTGAAAGGTCACAACACATAGAAAGAAAAGAATCACCTCTATGGCAGTAATTGCTGAACAGATGAAGAAAATATTTTTAGAATCTATACATCCCAAGCAAGGAAGTAAAGCCGCTAAGATGCAAAGGTTGAGAGTAAAGAAACTGAGAAAACGTTATGGAAAAGAAGGGTCAATAAAAAGAATAGAATTTATGGAAACAGAAAATGACGGTTGATGTTGTATTTAGATATTTGAAAATCGCAGTTGATAGCAAAGCAAGAACCCTAAAGAGATTTCCATAAACGAGAAGTGCGGGAAAGTAAATTCCTAGACTAAATCTTACGGGGCCATTTAGCAACATCAACAGTAAAAAAGTGAAACCTAATTGCCAAACGAGTAGTATGTCTGAAGTCATGAAGTTGTGAGACCAAAGGGGAAAGGTCATCAGAAAAGTTGTCATGAAATTATTGATAGAAAAGACACAATTGGTTGGGGGAGGGAACTATGTTACGCCGTTGAGAATGTGAGTGGAGCCGAGATGCCAGGTAAGGATGAGTGATATTGCAAATTAATTTCTGCATGTCTCTAGGTCCATAACAAAAGTACCACACCCGATTAGATTTTACATGTGAAAGACAATGTCAGTGAAAAGAATTATCTCACTGTTGTATTCCGTGCCAATAGGAATATATACTTGACAAACACGGTGGATAAATAAGTAAAGGTTTATTGTAAACGCCAGTACAATAAGAAATAAGGTAACAGTTATGCGCCCGATTGTCGCAAGTCAATCCAGTAGAGAGTGCGGCTATTCGAAGGTCGAATAGTTCTCGCGTAAGTCTGAGTCGTACTCAACAGATCCCAGCGAGTCGGTATTTACCTGCCTCCCCACAAGGAAGGATGTGGCACAAGGCTGAGTTTAATGTGAATCAATTTGAGCCCACAGGCTCGGCCAAAAATTCCCCGTAACCTCGATTAAACTGTTTCGGGTCTGTCTACTTCTCCGGACGAGGCCCTGACCTTCGGCATAGCCTCGTCCGGGTTCTCTCTGCTCGAAGGAAGAGAGTTCGGCAGCGGGCAAGATTTGAATAACAGATTCCAGCAGGGGTAGATGTGGCACAAGGGCAATTTTAACGTGGGACATCCGAGCCCATAGGCTCGGGCAAAAAATGACCATTAGAACCCGCATAAACGGGATCGGGTCGGTCTACCTCCCCGAACGAAACTCTGCCCTTCTGCATAGATAGGTCCGGGTTCCTCTCTGCTCAGAGGCAGAGAGTTCGATCAGCAAGCTGAAAAGGATTCCAGCAAGTCAGTACTTACTAGCCCACCACCCCGAGGATAGATGTGGCACAAGGCTGAGTCTAACGTGGGTCTTCCGAGCCCATAGACTCGGCCAAAAAATGCCCGTAGAACCTGCATAAACGGGATCGGTTTGGTTGGTCAACCTCCTCGAACGAGACTCTGCCCTTCCGCATAGCTACGTCCGGGTTGCTCTGAGGCAGAGAGTTCGACCAGCAAACCGCAAAGGATTCCAGCAAGTCAATATTTACTTGACACCCCCCACCACCACCACCACGACGGAAAGATGTGGCACAAGGCCGAGTTTTACGTGGGTTTTCCGTGCCCGTTGGCTCGACCAAAAAATGACCGTAGAAACTGTAAAAACAGAATCGGGTTGGTCAACCTCCTCGAACGAGACTCTACCCTTCGGCAGAGCCTCGTCCGGGTTCCTCTATGCCCGAATGCATAGAGTTCAACCGTCTTACTGGAACAGATTCCAGCAAGTCTCTCTGTAGTCCGTTGCCTTACGGATACTTATAGGCAGTTACTACTTAGAGTGTAGTCATTCATGGGGTTTACAGGTTATTCCATTACATCACTCACACAACACTGTGAACCAGCATTAGTTAGAATAATTTAACCAATAAATTCCATAAATACCGAGGTCCAGGTTTGAGAAACACCATCTCGGGGATGTTACCTTATTATTTTGAGACGACTGGTGAGGTGTTACTGGACGAATCATTTTTTTTTCATTATTAAAATGATATATATTTTTAGTGAAACAAGCGCTTCGATTTGGTGTAATGGTTAACGAGATTTTCTCGCTAGATCAATTACGACTGATTAGCACAGTGAATAAAGACGTTATTTAGATCCAGTAACAAGACCCAAAGTGAGTGAGTTCAATACCTGGTTAAGGCGGTGGAGGACTTAGAGAGGGGAATTAACAGGAGATAACTGATAACTGACATCCATTAGACATGGCACGTCGAACTAGAACAGTCTACCCCAGTCAGCGAAATAAAGGGTTAAGTTCAAAATTCCAACCACCTGAAGAAGGCCGGTACGTACAACGGCGGGAACGTTGTGATAAATATGGCAACAAAGATGAGGGTGATAGTCCGAACAATATAAATAGTGACTGATTAGTGAGTTCGATATTCACTTGGTTCTTAGTTAACAACTAAGCTAACAATATAAAAGATTGGAAAAGGCTATTTTGCCGGTGCCGGCAGAATAGAAACACATGATTTTTAGCTTATTTTAGCGGTCTTGGTAAATTAGTCTTTATCGTAAAGGCAGGTAATATTACACAGTGATTTATTAATTTTCACCATCAATAGTTAAGACAATTTAATAACTTTTCCACCATCAATTTAAATTTACTTATTTACTATCAAATATAGAGGTCTCTGAATATTTTAAGCACTTCAGGCATAACAATCTCTGTAAATCCCAGACTTTCCCTTGGACATGGTTTTCTTATCAATATACTGAAGACAACAGCCACAGACCATAGAATCCATGTTGTTCAAAGGTTGCGCAGAGGTTGTGTAAGCTGCGTAGGCAGGACACTGCCTACGCAGCTTACACAACCTTTGCGCTGACAATCTCAAATATATATTATTAGTTCTAAAACACTATTCATATCTACCAGCAAAAAAGCTTTGGTGTCTATATTAACGGGATCAAAAAATGTCTATTCGTAAAAGTTAAGCTTAGCACTTACGCACCTCTTTTAAGAACGCTGAATGAAGCCAGAATAAAAAATGTGATTAAATGACTTACATTCAAGTACTTGTATTATTTAGAGCTAAATATGTAAAGCATTTGTATGAATTATATTTTGCTT